AAGGAACCAACAGTCTTCATTTAGATAAGGCATTATGTGTAAAACGGATATGCACGCAGCACTCGGGTTCTGGAACAAGACTAAAGTACAGAGGTGGACAAATATCCAGAGTTTTCCACTGGAGTTTACAGCCGTTGGACGCGAAGAAGATAAGGGAGATCTAAAGTAGGTCATGTGTCAATCTTACCTTTAAACAAAGGGCAGATCACCCAGACTTTGCCTGGTCCCAGGTTGGAGTACTGGCAATAGAGCGTCTCCAGGAAGAGAATGGGACAGCCACAGACTAGCATGGCCACGAAGAATGGAATCAGGAAAGCTCCTATTTTGGAAGAAAGGGGGTGACAAGGGTCAGGCAGGGAAGAGGCGCTCGCTGACTTAGTTGTTCGCTTTAGTCAAACTAAACGTTCCCTCAAATTTTTCTGTTCAACATGACCTTGGCTCCCAGGACGACACAGCTTTAAACGTGTACCAGGTAGGTTTCTGGGAAGCAAAGGCGGCCAGAGATATATTGAACACATCACAGATCGAGGATAATTTATCTAGCCTCGGAGGCCCCATGCTCCACCGGTGTGTAAAAAGACCTGTATTCTACCTTTACACTTTCCTTGGTGCAAGTTGTCAGTGAAATATGGATTTTGGTACAGTATGGAATTCCTATTTATGTAAATCGGTCTGTCTTTTTACCTTCATGTCCTTCTGACAGCATGCATGTCTGTTTGCCTGCTGTCCGCCTGCCTGCCTGTCTATTTATTTACCAGTCTTTCATGTTCTTAGAGTTGACAGTACGCCCGATGTGTTAACGAAACACACACACGGACATTTTATATTTACACATACACACATAACCATACACAAATAAAAGCTTTAAAAGTGTGATAGAAATTACAATAATCATTCCATAGTCTTGTAACCAGTCAGAATTCTAGTTAAGGATGTCAAAAGTGTTTTTTATGTGACCTTAAGGTGCAGACGAACACAGTGACGTTATAATGACATTTTAAAGATGGCCGCTTCACTTTTGACATGCACCACACGGGAAACGTTCCCCGTAAACTGCAAACATCGTGAAAGGGCATGTGTGTGATCTTTGGAGGATTGCCAGGTGAAAGGTGTCTATCTTTTTTGGCCAGTTATTCCTAAACAACAGCAGTGACCCGTTGTTGGATTATTATAAAATCCATTCCGGCACATTTCCCGTCAATGTTCTTAGAAGGGTTTATATTGAACAGCCTACCTTCCTCAACCTGTTTAACTCTAATTCTAGGCAATTATGCCTTTTGGCCCCCCCCCCCCTTTCCCCAGGGCATCTTATTGTATGGGCAGAGGGTCCCCAAGCTAAAATGTGTATGAAAATAAAAAATATATTTCACGTTTAAATTATTTCTTATGTAATATGTCGGCGTCTGTGGTTTAGGCGTTGCGAACAAGCTTCGTAATGCCGGGGGGGCCGGGTTCAATCCCAGCTGTCGGCCTTGCGCCTTGTGTTGGTTTCGACAGTGGTATCAAGAAGCCGACCGTCTAGAAGCAATGGCAAACTACAGGACGTAAATTTGCCTAAAAAACCACAACAGCAAAAAAATTACCGGGTTGGTTCTGCAACGTCATGTAAAGGATACGCGACTAACTTATAATAGAACAAAACTACACACACACACACACACACACACACACACACACACACACACACACACACTAGTTTTATTGTCGCGGCAATAAAATTTAAGTGTTTAATATTATCGACTATTTACATTTCATTCCTGTATGTGGTTATCGTAGGGGCACCAGCACACTTGCTTGCCCAAGGACCTTTAGTGCTGTTAAGATGCTTCTCTCCTATTTATGTGGGGCGTCCATTTTAAAATTGGAGGGAGGGGTGGCCTTAAGAGATAGAATCAGTCATGTTGTGTATCTTCTTATGAATTAAAAGGTCCCCACCTTGCCTTTACATACAGATAAATTAGTCGTGAAAGATCTTACCAAACACATGCTTACCTCCACCACTCCTGTAGCAGACATAGGGAAATCTCCAGACGTTGCCCAGGCCGACCAAGGAGCCTAGCGCCGATAGTAAGAACTCTACCCACGACCCCCAGCTGCCTCTTTCGTCAGCCATGCTGCTTGTTGCCTCGAAAAAAAAAACTGACAGATGCTAAATATCCTGGCTCAGACCCGGTTTTGACGGGATTTTTTCAGCTTCGTTTGCAGAGAAACGCGAGCTGCTCAACCATGTGATCTATGTGTGGATGGAGCATATCCTTCTGGCAGACATCTCAGCTAGAAACAGAACCTTATATCTCCCTCGACACCCACAGCGGTAAAAGAGGAAGTGAAGAAGAAGAAGAAGAAGAAGAAGAAGAAGAAGACATCTCAGTTCAGCTATAAGAATGACTTGGATGTTTTCGTGCAGGAATGTAAAGTCAGTATGAATGGCAGCAGTTGCACACTGTCCCAGCTCATCATCGACCAATCACTGAATGAATTACATAGGTTGTACTCTTCCCGATCTCATCAAAGACTAATAACTTACTGATTTACACAAGTTTTTTACCGTCCGATCTCGTCAAAGACGAATTATTTACTAGCACGGAGAAAATCTCAACACATTCGATGCACGAAACATGAAGACAATTGAAACCGCATATCTCGATAATTAATGTAGTGCTAACAAAAATGGCTGTAATGATGATAATGTGAAAGCTCTAAGTAAAGCTACATCCGAACTCCCCAAAATTAAATAAAGTATCCTGCTATCTGGAAAAATTAGCACTCTACACCTATACAATTCTCCACATGACAGCAATATGAAGCTAGTTGTCAGTTTTTTCGATTCACCATTCGTAATGTAGTCTAAAGTTGACGCATGACCAGTAATGTTAAATTATCAACATGACCTCTGACCTTACCATTTACCACACTAATTTCATAGCAGACACGAATAGTCACTCTTTTAGAGCTCTGTGAATTGAACAGACTGCTGGCGAGCCATCAGGTCATGGCAAGTTATTTACTTCTGGCTACTGTTAACCATTGTATTCTCCCCATATATAGACTGAAAGTATATAGTTCCATAGTCCACTCACTGACTACTCTGTGATCTGCAGATTTAATTTGGAATGTGTCAGCAAACTACTTTACTATATTCATTTTATATGGCTCGATAGGTAGGCCAGCTAACAGACTTCACTACCCTACGAACACACTTAAGACAAGCACCTGCTGAGTACAAACATAATCTTTAATGTACCACGAACAATACGACTAGTAACACCTCAACTAAGCTGGCAGTCCTTATCCTGAACGCTGGCGTTGAGCAGCTTTTACGTTCACTGGTCAACCCGAGTCGTTCCCATGGATCCCCAAGGACACGATTCCAAACTAACAGTTTATCAGTGCTGACTAAGCCGCCGTCTATTGCGACGCGGGATTCAGTGATACACTTAAGGTGTATGGCCTAAGTGTGACTGGGCAGTGTTACCGCCATTAACAATGCGTGTCACACATTCACTAGCCTCTTAACAAATACTGCGTGGAACGTCTACAAGGAATATTAACTCTACGCTATCTCGTCGTACCATTAAATGGAAACACAGCCTATCTCAAAAATACTAACCACAAACACTATTCAATCTAACCGTCACTAAACTAACATACGTTTTACCTAGTCAAAGCGCTACGTCTCGTCCAGTCCAATGTCCACTACACAACTCCCCTTCAGCAAGCTCTGTCCAAGCTTTTTGTTCCCCTCTCCGCGTTCATCTCTCGACACGCGGTAATCCGTGTTAACCATGGGCCCTGGGTTTAGCCAGTTAACTCGACCCAGTTTATTCCGTGGTCAAGCTGCCCGGTCGCATACTGAGTTTTACCGAAGGTCAACATGTTCATACGTGACGATTCACTATCATCAACTCCGTTCATCCCGTAGCCGAACTGGCCTCTGACAGAATGCTTTTTGAATTTGCCCAATGTGGTATTATTTTGTGAACTGCAGATTGAGAAAAATTGCGAGTGCCTGTTGCCATACAACAGTTGGTGCCTTACGCGATTCATTTCCTGTGCGACTACTGAATTGTTTTAAATACCACTTATGATGATGAATAAATGCGGTTATCGTTCCAGATTGCTTGTTTTGACCTTTATAACGATTGACTTATAAGCATTTAATGCGTGTGCATGCTATTGATTGGCTTTGTTGTGACTGTAGTCTGTGTTGGCGATGGGCCTTCTGGGTGGTTTTTGTGGACACAGGAACTTGGCAACAAAGGGATGACCCGTTTTGATGTGAATGTGGAACTGCGATCACTTGATTGGCTAATGACACGAAATGACGTAGACAAGGAAGAGAACAAGAAAGCGTGTAGTTTTTGTTGGCAAGAAGTGTCGGGAGATCATAAACAATTTGTAGACTTGGCAAGAAGTGTCGGGAGATCATAAACAATTTGTAGACTTGGCCAGAAGTGTAGGGAGATCACAACCAATTTGTAGACTTGGCAAGAAGTGTCGGGAGATCACAAACAATTTGTAGACTTGGCAAGAAGTGTCGGGAGATCACAAACAATTTGTAGACTTGGCAAGAAGTGTCGGGAGATGACAAACAATTTGTAGACTTGGCAAGAAGTGTCGGGAGATCACAAACAATTTGTAGACTTGGCAAAACGTGTCCGGAGATCAAAAACAATTTGTAGACTTATCAAGAAGTGTCGGGAGATGACAAACAAATTATAGATTTGATATCGAGAGAGGTATAAGAACCTCCGGTTTTTATTTTAATTTTTTTTTTTTTTGAAATAATAGATTTGCATAGAATGGTTTTGGTTTTGGTTTTGAACAACGGATCAACATCATGGCACACGGGTAGTAACCCATAAGTGCTCCGTTCTTCTTCTAACTCAAGTCTGAGTCCAAAGAAGCTCAGCACAGTGCACAGGCTCTGTAGCACCAGCGAGGATCCTGAAAAATATTTTTTGGGGGGTAGATTTTTAACTTAAAATTTTGGCATAGAATGAAAACCAAGAACATACGTACTGGACTTTAACTGAAGATAGAATGAACAGATATAGTAATTTACCATAATACTGCGTCTTGGATGTCACTATAGCAACCGATGTTTGGATTAACTTCGGGTTGGTCGTGTTTGGATCACAGTTCGGCCCTATCTGCTTTCATAGCCAACGCATCTTCAGTGTCATGTATCCACATGTGTGGTAGTCGGCCTCTGACTCATTTTCCGAAAACTGGATCCTCCGTCGCCGTTCTCTATAGACCACCATGACGCTTGACATGTCTAAAATATCTCATCTTTCTGTAGAGGATGCTGTTTATGAGCCAATTCTCCCTGATGTTCAGGTCATGCAGGATGTCGACGTTCTTCTTCTTCTTGTTCCACGGTATTCTTAGAAATTGTACGTAGCAAAAGCTCCAACTCTTCTCGTCAAAGACTAAGTGAGAGTGCATCACTCACATCCATAAGCTGCCACAGACCAGCGACAGTGCAAGACAGAGACTGAATTGTATTTCAATGCTAACAGATAGTGAGGTGCTTTATTAATATCCTATCACAAACATGGAAAATCCACAGGTCACGCTACAGTCAGGGGATAATAGACAGGCTGCATGCAGTCGTGGGACCTAGGCTGCATGCTCTCATGGGGCGTAGGTGGGTTGGGGGTTAGGGCCAGTTCTAGATGTTTTTGGGTCGTTAAAAGCATCAGTAAGCCGAGAAACCCAGGCTTACCACCCTCTAAAATGTTGGACTGTCCTGTGACGTCATCTGGGTTAGGATATTAATAAAGAACCGATAGTTCTCCCTGATGTTCAGGTCATGCAGGATGTCGACGTTCATTTTCTTCTTGGTCCACGCTATTCTTTGAACTTGTACTTAGCATTTTAGTTCAAAAGTTCCAACTCTTCTCATCAAAGACTGAGCGAGAGTCCATTACTTACATCTATAAGTTGCCACACACCAGCGACAGTAAAAGAAAGAGGCTGAATTGCATTTCTATGCTAACAGATAATGAATTAGAACCACGGAGAGTTCGTGACTAGAATGTTTATATTTTGTCATGCACACTGTTCATAAATTCATGGTACTGTTTTATTGCCAGTTTGGCATTTGTCTGTGTGCATTAGCCTTTTGCTCCTCCGTCTTCACTCACCCTCGCATACATGTTTGCATTATTTTACTTGATACTGACATATGATTTGAGGTTTGAACAAGGGATCAACATCATGGCACGCGGGTAGTAACTTATAAGTGCTCTTTTTTTTTTTTTTTTCTAACTTGTGCCAGAGTCCGAAGATGCTCAGCACAGTACACAGACTCTGTTTCACTGGCGACTACCCTGAAATAGTTTGGGTAGATTTTTAACTCGAGCTGTTTGCCCAGGCTAATCTTTTATATTTCCAACTGCAAAGGAATTTTTTACGTGCGCAACATTACACACAGGCGTCCGATCTTACTACCCAGAGACCAGGGGAAATTACTAGAAGTCCAAGACAACGTGAAAAAAATCCCAGCCCTTACCGGGGATTGAACCCGGAACCTCTAGCACTCGATATATATATATATTATATATATATATATATATATATATATATATATATATATATATATATATATATATATATATATATATATATATATATCGTTAAAATATATATACGATACACTACGTCCTTCTTAGGACGTAATTTTTTGTTATTTGAAGCCCCACTCTGGCTTTTGCCAGGGGCCGCAATATAGGCAGGCCATAGAATGGCCAATTGTCTGAACGCGGTTTCTGGGACCTCTCCACGGCGAACCTCATCCACATGGTGACACTTTGTGTCATCGGGTGTTTATCGCTTGTGTGATGTCCTGGTGGGGTAGAAAGTCAAGTCATATATATCGTTATATTAACATAACATGTTTTAAAGATAAAATACTATTAAAGTGCGAAAGATAAGGGTTACGACGTGCTGCATGTAAGACGGGCCCGTACGCCTAATTTATGACGTGTTAAAAAATAAACTTCGTTGGTTTTCTGATTCAAATATTCACGGCACTTGTGTTGTCTCTTAAAGCTTGTCATTCCCTTGTGGGGTTAAATTTGTCATTATTTGAAGCCTCAATATAGC